CCTTAGTTCCTGGGGTTCCCTTGGTTCCCGGTGTTCCATTGGTTCCTGGAGTTCCTTTTGTTCCTGGTGTTGCTGGTGATCCCTTGGTTCCTGGTGTTCCCTTGGTTCCCGGTGTTCCCTTGGTTACTGGTGTCCCCTTGGTTCCTGGAGTTCCCTTGGTGCCTGGTGTTCCAGGTGTGGCTGGTGATCCCTTGGTTCCTGGGGTTTCTGGTGTTCCCTTGGTTCCTGGTGTTCCTTTTGTTCCTGGAGTTCCCGGTGTTCCTGGTGTTGCTGGTGATCCCTTGGTTCCTGGTGTTCCTTTAGTTCCCGGTGTTCCCTTGGTTCCCGGTGTTCCCTTGGTTCCTTTGGTTCCTGGAGTTCCAGGTGTTGCTGGTGATCCCTTTGTTCCTGGTGTTCCCTTGGTTCCGGGTGTACCCTTGGTTCCTGGAGTTCCCTTGGTTCCTGGAGTTCCTTTAGTTCCTGGGGTTCCCTTGGTTCCTGGTGTTGCTGGTGATCCCGGTGTTGCTGGAGAACCTGGTGTTCCTGGAGTTCCCGGTGTTGCTGGTGAACCCGGTGTTCCTGGAGTTCCCGGCGTTCCTTTGGTTCCTGGAGTTCCCTTGGTTCCTGGTGTTCCCTTGGTTCCTGGAGTTCCCTTGGTGCCTGGTGTTCCAGGTGTGGCTGGTGATCCCTTGTTTCCTGGTGTTCCTTTGGTTCCTGGAGTTCCCTTGGTGCCTGGTGTTCCTTTGGTGCTTGGTGTTCCAGGTGTGGCTGGTGAACCCGGAGTTCCCTTGGTTCCTGGTGTTGCTGGTGATCCCTTGTTTCCTGGTGTACCTTTAGTTCCCGGTGTTCCCTTGGTTCCTGGAGTGCCCGGTGTTGCGGGTGAACCTGGCGTTCCTGGAGTTCCCTTGGTTCCCGGTGTGGCTGGTGATCCCTTGTTTCCTGGGGTTCCTGGCGTTCCCTTGGTTCCCGGTGTTCCTTTAGTTCCTGGGGTTCCCTTGGTTCCTGGCGTTCCTTTCGTTCCTGGTGTTGCTGGAGTTCCCGGTGTTGCTGGTAAACCCGGTGTTGCTGGTGAACCCGGCGTTCCTGGAGTTCCCGGTGTTCCTGGAGTGCCCTTGGTTCCTGGTGATCCCGGTGTGACTGGTGATCCCTTAGTTCCTGGAATATAAGGTGTATATGTCGTCATAGTTCTATTTTTTCATGTTTCAATGTGTTTGTTGATATTTTACCTTTTGACACATGCTTCTCTAAACATCCGATGGCCTTCAATATATCTGCAAAAGAAAGGCAAATGAAAGAACTTCATTGTTTTAAACAATTTAGGTTGTGTTAGGGGTTGTTTATTATTTATATTTATTTTATTACAATTATTATCTGTAAACCCTTGAAACTTGAACAGCAACACCATCGACGCTTTGGTATCAAACATCGTCGATGACGCCGGCGCACCCTGCACCCTCCCCCTAACACCCCCACAAGACACGCGCTAAGAGCGCAGGCGCGCAGTGAACTGGGGTCCGCGAAATAATACCAGTACCACTCATCCTGATGAATGTCCCCCGATGAGTTTGAAACTAGTCGGTGGCCACCGGACGAATATACGTCAGTTTTTAGCCGTTTTTATATCAGATTAGCTATAAACCCATCTGTTAATCCCCGAAAAAAAAAATCGGAATACCAGGGTAGCACACGTAAATAAAAATACGGACGAATTTATAACCTTCCTATTGAAGTCGGCTAAAAATATAACATCGCCTGTTTACACCCATAGAGTTTAAAAAAATGTTAAAACGACAATAATAAGAAAAAAAATTCAGACATAAAAAAATAATAAAGTTTTCAAATATCTTGGCGGCTCTGACCAGCGCGAGTCGGAGCGCAGTACACAATTTTATGTATTTTGGGTGCACAGCGCATTACCTTGGACCACCAAGATATTTGAAATGAATTATATTTTAATTTACCTGTCTCTTTCGTCACGTTCCTTAATTTCTTAAGCGAATCTAAGAAACCTGAAAATAATATAAATTATTAAATAACAAATATTAATAATATTATGTTTAGTGTTAAAATACCTAGATTTGGCTCACGAGGTTACCGCCATGTGGCGTATGAAATCGACTACCATTATTCCGATAGTCGTATCGGTAAATGGACTGATAGCGAAGAACTTCGACCAACATCTCAAGAAGGTCTCGCTACACAGTTGGATTAAGGGCCCGATACAAAAGACAGTTATCCTAGAAACCGCACGCATCGTGAGAAGGTTCCTGTCTCTGCAGCCGCTGGTGTTCTCTTTTTAATATAATATGTTTTGTATATTTTTTTTTTTTTTTGGATATGAAATGTATTATATTAGAAATGTGATAAATAAATGTTTATGTTTAAAAATATCGTCTATAACAACGGTAAGACAATACGAAAATTCATATCGCAAAGATTGTCGAGTTTTTAGTCTAATGGAGTTTAATCTTCAAAAATTTATCCTGCAATTTCAGGCGAATAACATGGTTATACGAGTTTTTTTACTCACAAAAACGAACGCACAAGCACCAGGGAAGTACTAGGCCCTAATATGAAAATTTGTGAGAAATTGTTCATTTTTTTATCATAAAGTGGCAAACGAGCGAGCGGCCACATGAAATCGCTGAAATAGCGAAGTGACCGTTGCCCATAGACATACGCAATTGCATATGCGTTGCCTAACTTTAATCGTCGGAGGAGAGGATGCACAGAAAGATAATATCTTCCCTTTCCATGCATCCTCTCATCCGGAAAGTCCACTTTCACTTCCCATCCTTTCCTTATACGAAAAAGGGTAGAAAAGGAAAGAGGACTAAATTAGGTCTACGACACGCACACTCATCAGACTATAGTTGGTATTACTTCCACTTGAGGAGTGTCTTCTGTGTGCTCGTGGTATATCACTGAGTGAGGACAATTCGTGCAGATGTTACTCGCTCTACCACTGTTAAAATCATAGCACAAGGAAAAATCTTTTGGAAATGCCATATTTCTGTGATTCAGTTACTAATACTTTTTCTATAATATAATTTTCGTGCTAGTGTGGCCATAATTTATAAAAACTTACCTGCAGTTTTTGTGAATTTCTCCAAATGTAATATAACTTCATCTAATTCTGTAATGATATGAGAAAATTTAAATAACATTAATTGATAAAAAAAAAATCTTCAAACTTAATCATGAGTTCCCTGTCTACAAGAACACCATAAGCGAGTAACTCTTGTTAAAGAAACTAGCTTATCCAGTTTCAGTGGCTTAGGAGTCAAGTAATTGACTTGTCAGCAGGTCCTGAGTTCGAATCCTGACTTACCAATGTGTATTTACATATGTACATTTATCTTATGTTACGATAAAGGAAAACATCGTGATGCTGCACATATCTGAGAAAGTCAAATGTGTGAAGTGTTGCACTGGACCAGCATTCACTATCACATATCACTTAGGGTAGACTCTACCCTCAGTGGAGTATAGTGACCTGATGATGATGAAGTTAATTCGATATTTTATAGACATCACTTGTTTAATCTATTTTAAATGGACTATACTAAGTTTTTTTTTAAATCTAACAGATTTAGCAGATTTACTTACGGAATCGTTTGCTTATTGTTATCAGCACTTCAAAGAATTCAATTATATCTGAAAAAAAAAACACAATAATTCATAAATAACACATATTGTATTTGTATTTAAAAAAAAATTGCTTACCAAAAAAGAAACTTACCGATCTGTACTATAACGTAGATAACGCGAATGCATTCAAAAAGACCTAAAAGAAAAAAGAAATGTGTTCAAGACATTCATAAGATGACCTTCAAAGTGATATTAGAGCGAGACAGATGTGGTTTTTTATATAACAGAAGTAGGCAAACGAGCAGCAGGAACACCGAGGTGTTTAACGACACTCATGGACATTAATACCAGAGGAACCGTTACGTTGCCGGCCTTTGAGGTGGTGACCCTCGCTTCTTGAAGGACCCTAAGTCGTACCGGTTTGGAAATACTGCCGAGGACAGACCATTCCACAACGCTGCTGTACGAGGCAGGAAGCTAATACATTTATCTCGCTCTTACAGTATTATAGTTTTAGGGTTCCGTATCTCGAAAGGAAACGGAACCCTTATAGGATCACTGTTGTTTGTCTATTAAGACACTTTTTATAAAGAAATTATGTATTTTTCAGATTTAAACTTTGGCTGAATAATTTCTATTTTTAAATTGTGTTGTCTATTGTAAAACTTTTTTTTTTAATATAAATATTTCCAGATTTTTATGTAAATTTACTAATATTTCTTTTACCATTCCAACTAAGCTATATGCTTGTGCTAGGATATAGTTTACGACAGTCGAATGTCGGGATTCGAACCCCCGACCATGTGACCGGAAATCCGTACCCTTAACTATTAGGTTATTGACGCTTGAAAGTAATAAAAATCGGAGTTTCTACAATAATTTTTTTGTAAAAGTTTGAAGCAAAGTTATATCTTTAACAGAATTATTAATATAAAAAAGGGTCTTAACAGACAGACGTACGGACAACAAAGTGATAATATAAGGGTTCTGTTTTTGCCTATGAGGTACGGAACCCTAAAAATTGTATATTCCTAGTAACTTTAAAAGTAAAAATAACTGTGTTTTTCGTGCTTTTTATATATCACATGTGAAGGTCGAAAAAGGAACTTAATTTTTTGTAGGACCGTGTAATTTGTAATTTTTAAATTCTCTGCCCCACCCTCCATTCCAGGTGCGATGTGTGATTTTATTAAACCCCCATCCCTAAATCTCACATGAGATTTTTGAAAACATTTCTTACGTATAAAATGGACCAAAATAGTATAATTTTTTTTTAGTTTCCGAGACACCCCCCCCCTACCCCCTTAAACACCTCAAGTAATTTATGGACGCTCCCAAATCTGTGGATGTCAAGAAGTATTTTGTACTTACGTGTTTTAGTTGTTGTTTTGAAGAGAATGGTACACGCCGCTCTGATGTTCGTTGTGTTCGTGAATCTCATTATTGTCTCGATAAATATTATAAAATTAACTTTAGTATAAATTGACAACTGTTCGAATATTATGAAAATATCTGAAAAAGAAACATCTTGTATATAAAATTCCTCGTGTCACAATATTCGTTTCCATACTCCTCGGAAACGGCTTGACCGATTCTCATTAAATTTTGTGAGCATATTGACTAAGTCTGAGAATCGGACAACATCTATTTAATCCCGCGCGGACAGAGTCACGGGCGACAGCTAGTCTTATATAAAAGTGAATCAAAAACTTTGTATCCTGTTTAAGAGAAATAACATATATTTTTAAGGTATTTTACACTTTTAACATCATAAGAAAACATCGATGTAAAATTGGATAGTTTTTTTTAGATTGAATTCAATTAAAATGTAGATAGAAGCATCACTAGCGGATTGTACCTCTCACACTTGGCTCAGATATAACATTTTAAGTAAAAAAAAGACATGGAATGACATTATAGTTATAAATTTACTTACCCGTTTCTGATGTAAGTGATGTCAACATCTCCCATGCACTTTGGATCGCTGGAATTAATATAATAAGTTTAATAAATAAGCTAAAAAGTTTGCGTCAGTCAGGCGGCCGGACAGTAAAAACATTAAAAGCCAAAACATTTTACAGTATGTATGTACAGGGTTGAAAGAATTGCGCGTTTATTAGAGGAAGTTTGAAAGTAGCGCTAGTAGAGAAATTGAGGAGTAAAAGATTAGCGTAGTTTGGACATGTTATGCGGAGGGATGATGACTACAAGGGTAGAGGAAGACCAAAAAAAGGCATGGAATGAGTGTGTGAAAGAGGATATGCGTAAGAAGGGGGTAAACTCGGATATGACGGCTGATAGAGATGTATGGAGGAGTAGTACATGCTGTGCCGACCCTCGATAGGGATAAGGGCAGGTTGATGATGATATCTAAGCTAAAAACTACACGATTTAATCTTTTAAGTATGTAAATTAGTTCTAAATAATTAAGTACATAATTTAATACATAATATGTGAGAAGAATCCAATATTCGCGGGGGTTCAGTTCTGGAATGTCGCTAACATTTTGATCACACGTAGATTTCTTTATCCGAAAAAATTGAGCAACCGCGAATAAGGAGATTGAAATGTGTAATAATTAAAAATTAGATAGAAAAATGATAGATTAGATGTTCCATTTATATAAAGATTGTTGGATTATTAAAATTTTGATAGAAATGCTATAAATATAGAGAAATGCTCTTAAATATTTTTTTAAACGTAATCATAAAAAAAACTTACTCTCCGTTGCAGTATACGTGATGAGTTTTCTAAAGAATCCAAGAATATCGTTATATTTCGACTTAATTCTGATATCTCTCAGAATATCCAATACAGCCACTGGAAAAAAACATAATTAAATCTAATATCAAGAAATCAAAGAGATATATATTTTTTATTTTATATCATAAGATGGCAAACGAGCGAGCGGCCACCTGAAATCGCTGAAATAGCGAAGTGACCGTTGCCCATAGACATACGCAATTGCAAATGCGTTGCCTACCTTTAATCGACGGAGGAGAGGATGCACAGAAAGAAAATATTTTCCCTTTCCATGCATCCTCTCATCCGGAAAGTCCTCTTTCACTTCGCATCCTTTCCTTATAAGAAATATGACAGGAAGGGAAAGAGGACTAATTTTGGCCTCCGGAAAGAAGTCAAAGATATATGCAGAGATTTAGGATCATCATCTAAGGCGCTACAGCGTTTTGGACCTGGTCAAGTAAATTCCTCTACACCGGTCTTTGGCTTTTTGCACCCAACTATTAACTTTAAATCTTTACTATCAATAAATTTGAATTGTATTTTCCCAGTTAAAATTTACACAAGACACCTTTAATCCATAAACAGTTAAGTGGTTACATTTTCTTTAAACTTAATAAGTTAATTACTTACTCTTCTTGGTAGTAAACTTCTTAATAATCGTACAAACTTCACTAATATGCTTTGTCTTTGTTAATTCTATAAGAACCAAAAGGAATGTGATCGGATCTCTCTTTGGTGAGTTCACAACTTCGTTGACCTTACGTAGGAATGTTAACAGATCTGAAAACAACAAGAAAAAAAGTTAAAAATGTATAATTTAGGACCATAGAGGTCATTAATGGATAATCTTACTTATATTATAAAAGGGAATGTTTAGATGGATGAATGGATCTTGATGTAATTTGTCGTACATATAGAGCATAGTCTGGAAGAACACATAGGCTACTAATTATGTTTTTTTTTAATTCGCGGGCGACCGCCAATATATAACAAACTAGCCAAATTATAGAAAGCTGTTATTGCAAAATAACGTCTATCTATCTTATTAAAGGATCAAGTGCAGGCTATATTGGGACTTAATATCACGACTGCCCTGAGACAAGCCGAAGACAGGACGGCGTGGAGGCAGCTGGTCGACACGGCCGTTGAAGCGTACCAGGACAGGCACGACCTTCAGTAATGAAGAATACGAAGAAGAAGAGAAGATCTTATTAAATTGCTAACGTTTGATGCCTAATTCAAATTCTTCTAGCACTACAGCACTTTGTGGGCCTTGGCTTGGTCCAGCACCTTTTTCCACCTCGGTATATCTCTGACCACGGATTTCCAATTTGTTATGCTTAATTTTTTGCGTCTTTATTTACGTCGTCTATCCATCGAAGCTTTAGTGTCCCTCGACTTCAACGACCTTTGGGATTACTCGTCAAAACACTCTTAGGGACTCTAAGGTCTAATTCAAATATCAATGTCCAAATAAATGGTTTGTATATTTGGTTACTATTTCATGGCCTCCGCAGTGCCTTGAATTGAATACAATCTTGTATGGATTATACAATTTTAAGGGTAGTGCGCAAATTTTTATAAACTTAGCCAAAAAGTGTCTTCATGTGTAGTATTAGTTACCTACTTCATTAATAATGTTTTTTAAAAGCTATACTTACCATCGAAACCGAATTGTGTCTTTATAACAACAGCCACCTGGTCCAGATCATTTGATCCTGTTATCTTGTAGAAATTCTCAAATATAAATTCGAAATCTGAAAGTAATCAATCAAATTTAAATTCGCGTTCATTAAAAAGTTGATAGAATTTACAATCAAATCGATTATAATTTGGATAGAACTATATTTAATATATAGAAACATATTTAAAACACTACTGTCACTGTGTTTTCTAAAAATCTCAAATAATCTTTTTTTTTTTGTAGAAAAAAGCAGAAGGAACACCGAAGTGATCATCTCATGAACATCTTCAATACCAGTGGAACTGCAAATGCGTTATATTTTTAAAATAAGGTCAGTAATAAGATCGTTCTTAATAAAGCCTGTATATGGACAGGCTATGAACCGTGGTATTTTGTGCTTTTTTGATTATCGCCATTTTAGCATTTTACAGCAGTGGTGTGTCAAATATAGATAGAATTAAGTTTAAGGGACGAATCAAAAGCTGTTTTTTTCTAAACAGTGACCCATCTATATATAAGTTAAGTAAAAAATAACTAGTTTTTTATTTACTTACTGCTTGATCCGCTCTCTTCTATTAGTTCAATTAATGCGTATTTCAATTCTGTAAATATAACATTAAACTATTAATAATGAAACGGTTATCTTCTTTATATATATAATTCTTCTGTGCGTGTGTATATCACTGAACTTCTCTCAAACGACTGGAGCGATTTTGATGATATTTTTTGTGTATGTTCAAGGGGATCTGGGAATGGTTTAGATTCACAATTTTGTCCGCTGGACAATGTTTTTTTTAATTAATTTTTAATTTATTATTAGTTGTTGATTTTGGAATGTTTTACATTGGATCCGACAGACGGCGCTACCATCGCAGTGTCAAATTGTCAGACAGCGTCTGTCGGGTCCGCTAGTATATATATATATAAAAGAAAGTGGTGTTAGTTACACTATTTATAACTCAAGAACGACTTTACCGATATGGCTGAAAATTGTTGAAGAGGTAGCTTAGAGCATGGAGACGGACATAGGATACTATTTATTCATTTTTTTTACGAAAGTATACCTTGAAGAGTCGTTTTTTATTTAACTTACTAATATTATAAATGCGAATGTTTAGATGGATGTGATGAGGATGGATGGATGGGTTTTGAAATATATCTCTAGAACGGCTGAACGGATCTCGATTAAATTTGGCATACGTATAGAACATAGTCTGAAAGAACACATAGGATACACTAATTATGTTTTTTTTTATTTCCACGTGGACGGAGTTGCGGGCGACAGCTAGTTAGTCTACTAAAAAAATAAAAAATTCAAATTTTTGTATCAAAATGCGGCCAATAGATGGCGCTATCTTATTTTAAAGTTAGTTCGGTTTAATATTAAAATGATGACTCACGTTTTTTATTTGTGATTTTCTTAAATATTCTTATACTCGCTGAGAAAGAGTTCTGTTTGCAGATACGATTGAGTTTTCGGATCGCCTCACCAAGATCTGGAAGAAATATCATCATCAGCTTACTATAAATCCCCATTAAGGGTCTCAGAGTCAACCCTAATTGATATGTGATAGTGAATGCTGGTCCAGTGCAAGACTTCACACATTTGACTTTCTCAGATATGTGCAGCATCACGATGTTTTCCTTCACCGTAACATAAGATAAATGTACATATGTAAAAACATATTGGTATGTCGGGATTCGAACACAAGACCTGCAGATTGCAAGTCAAGTGCTTAACCCCTGAGCCATCGACGCTTATTACATTCATGTGAAAATTTTAACCGATAACTTTCTTACCGGTTATTTAACATCCCTAGTTAAGTTTCGTTGACAAATGTCAAAATATATTATAGCTTTAAAATTGATAAAAGACATAACTCTAATTGGTTTATAAATTATTATAAGTAAAAAAAAAAATTAATAAAAAATGTGTAAAATTCAAACGCACCTTGCGATCTTGTTCCTGTTAGAAGTAATTTGAAGCTTTCCTTGATATCTGAAAAGAAAAAATTTGATTTAATATGCTATTGCATACAACATAGAAAAACGTAGAAAATGATTTACTTAAGTAAAAAAAATGTACAGTCGCGGAAATCCGCGGTGTTACACTTACAGATATAATACCTTGTTTCTTGCAATGAGACAAACTTCGCCTCTTCTTACAAATAATCAATTAAATAGAAGTGAGTTACGCAAACGTTGGGATTTAAAAAATGTCTTGACAGACAGACCAACAAAGTGTTTCTATAAGGGTTTCGTTTTTTTCTTTCGAGTTACTGAACACTAAAAATTAGTAATTTACAATTGACCCACTATTTTTCGTATAAACATTTAAAAGCTGTATGTACCCAATTGTTTCATACGAAAGTTTGGTTTTTAAATCGAACACCGCAAAATTCCTCGACTGTACATTTATGTCATTAAGGACAAATAAAACTGTTATTTTTCTTTATGCAATACTATTTATAAAACTAACAACGGGAAATAGAGCAACCAAATCAGAAGCATACTAAAAAGGAAGCGACTCCTCCAAGGAGGAGTGGCCACTGGTCCTTGACCACAACCAATCTGAAAACTGCAAAGACGAAGAAAATAAAACTTACCAATTTCGTTTTTCAATTCCAAAAATACAAGCGGAAGCTCCGAAGGACCAACGCCTCCAGTTATCTTCAACACCTGGGCAATCACACCTTGCAGACCTGTAAGAAATTTAATATTTAAAACTCCTATAAGTCAGGACATCCTGTGAGGGTTTGAGCCGGCTCGCCCGGTGAAATACCACGACCACACAGAAGGCAGGCGTCAAGTGGAAGCTATTCCAACTTCAGTTTTTTATATCATAAGGTGGCAAACCTGCCACCTGTAATCACTGAAACAGCGAAGTGACCGTTGCCCATAGACATACGCAATTACATATGCGTTGCCTACCTTTAATCGACGGAGGAGTGGATGCACACAAAGAAAATATCTTCCCTTTCCATGCATCCTCTCACCCGGAAAGTACACTTCCCCAAGCACACTCATCAGACTGTAGTTGGAATTACTTCGCACTTGAGATGTGTCTTCTGTGTGCTCGTGATATTTCACTGAGCGAGGACAACTCCTGCAGATGTTAAAGCAAGCTCTACCACTGTTAAGTTTTACGAAGAGTCTAAGAATGTGGGATTTAAAAAAAAACTCAATGTCTTACCTGTAGAATGTTTCCCATTCACAGCATGTTTGAAGAAATCACATATTTCATGGAGATCTAGAAAGATTTAGCTTAACATTATGAAAAGAATAAACGAATCTAATTACATGAAGTGCAAACACTAAACATTTTTGTATGGAACCTTAACGTTTGTAACAAACCAATGAGGTTTATTTAGCGTTAAATACAGGGTGTCCCAAAATGTTACGTACATAGGAAGGGGGATGATAGGGGTGGTCACAAGGGTCACCAGAAAAATTAAATAAAAATTCCCCTCTGGGTATTAAAAAAAGGGCATTTTTAAAAAATTTTACACCTTCTGGGGCAATTTTGTAACCGATAACCTACAAATATTGCTACATTTAAAAAAAAGCTATTATGTTATCGTCAATAACCCTTTATCAATATGAAATAAAAAAAAAAACAATACAACTAACAAAGATTTTAAAGAAAATTAAAATTAATTAAAAATAACTAAAATTAATTTAAATTAAAAATAACACACACTTAAAACACATGTATGTTTAATTGTGTTGTTAAATAAAGAAAAAAACTGTTTTAAGTGTGTGTATTATTTAGTTCAATTTAAAGATAAAAAAAAGTAAATCTTGAATATATGTATGTTAGAAGATATGTCTAGAACAGCTGCTTGTATCTTGATTAAATTTGTCATACATATAGAACATAGTCTGGAAGAACACATAGGCTACTTATTAAGTTTTTAATTTCACACGGACGAAGTCTTGGGCGACAGCAAGTCTTGCCAATATAAATACGAATGTTATGATGGATGAATATTAGAAGGTATCTTCAGAACGGCTGTACAGATCTTGATGAAATTTGTCATACATATAGAACATAGTCTGGAAGAACAGATAGGCTATTTTTTATATACTTACTTCGTCCACCAGAAAGCCTCTGGAGGATTTCATATATCGCGTCTATGTTATGGTGTGCTGTCAATCTTTCCAACACGGCAAATGCTTTGAAGACATCTAGTGGATAAAAACATCAAATTTTAATATACGGAAGTCTTAAGAATAGTCTATATAACGTAATGTTTAGCAAATTTACCTTTTTCATTCGTTAATTGATATAATAAGTCCACGAATATTGTTATTTCTGAAAAGAAAAAAACATAATTTTTTAACTCTAGTTGCTTAAGTTGTATAGTTATATTCAAATTTTACAACGGTACGAGATTACAAGATATGGATATGGAGTAGACCAGTCTTTCCCAAAGTGTCTCCGTCCCCTTGTGGGCGCTGCAGGTCTCAAGTTGCGGGTTATAGTAAAAGTTTCGTTTAGAATTCTCCGTTAATATACATATATAGGTCACAATAATTAATTAATTTAATTTGAAGTTATAGTGGTTTTTAAACATGGGAAAATAAGGGGGGCGCTAAAAAATATTTATTCTCAAAGTGGGCAGTAGACAAAATAAGTTTGGGAACCACTGGAGTAGACAATCAATGCTCCCAGTATTAAGGCGATATTCTTTGACTTTTATATAATCTTATCTTTTATTAAACTCTAAAACCTAATATTACTAAGATCATATCCAAGCGAAATTATTCAATAAGAACCAATATGACTCATGCCCACAACCCAAAGGGGTAGGCAGAGATCACGGACCTCCATTTGGAGCAGTTCTGACACCTCTTCGTTCATACATCTTGATACATGCATCCGGTTTTGGATGCTCTTAATACCAGCCCTTCTTGAGTATTTTATTAAACTGGACGGTATAAGTCCGCCTAGGACGGCTTCAGCTGACTTTGTCACCAACTTTCTATTAAAATGTTCCATATCTTTCTTGCTTTAATTTTTTTTTAAATATTAGCAGATTTTTTTTTGTAAACTTACTAATATTTCTTTTACCATTCCAACTAAGCTCTATGCTTGTGCTAGGATATGGTTTACGACAGTCGAATGTCAGGATTCGAACCCACGACCTCGTGGTCGGAAATCCGTACCCTTAACCATTAGGCTATTGAGATTGTTAATTCACTCTACATGGGAGCGTATCATATTTTTATCCAGATCAATCTTAAAGTTGTTAACCCTTTTTCATGTCACCTTTTATACTATTCATGGCTATTATAATACACCTGTATATTATTATTTTCAAATAACTTGGATGCTCAAAGTCATCGGTGCGCAATGTACCTAAAAATGTGTTCTGCAGCGAGTCGCGCAAAGTTAAGAGCTGTGGAGATATTTGAAATGATTTATACTTACTTGTGTGTCCTTCTAGTGTTGTAAGGAAGTCATAAGTGAAGCTCCAATCTTGAACCGCGAAGAGATATAACAAATCTATACACTTCCTCATCGCCTGTGAAAATAGTGTATATTTACTATAAAAATACGAGTAAACTAATTATTTTAAATCATCATCATCAGCTCACTATACGTCTAAACCGAGGGGCTCGGAGCCTACCCTAAGTTAAGGGTGATTACGCCATAGTCAAATGCTGGCCAAGTGCTTGACTTCACACATATCTTTGACTTTCTCAGATATGTGCAGCATCACGATGTTTTCCATTACCGTAATATGGGATAAATGTACATATGTAAATCGGAAATGGAAAAACACATTGGTACATGGCGGGATTCGAACACAGGACCTGCAGATTGCAAGTCTAGTGCTTGACCCCTGAGCCACCGACGCTCTCAAATAAGTGAGTTGAAAACTCGAGAGATACTTTGATTTAAAACTCTTAAAGCAACAATGCAAAGCAGCAACAGTCTATGAAACAATTTCTTCTATGTTATAAGAACGTATAAGGAATTGTCACGAATCAACGATTCGACAAAACTCTAAGCTTTTGTTCAATACTTACTCTTAAGATTTGCTGTACTCTTGATGTAAGCGATGGCTTTATTTCTTTCTGTAAATTAAAAATATATAAATAATTAAAAAACCGGTAATATATTCTTAAAATTTACCGATTAAAGTCACATCACTAAAGTCTTTGCGATGTCTGCCAGTTATAACCTAAAAAATCTTACTAATATTATAAATGCGAATGTTTAAATGGATATTTGAAGGTATCTTCAGAATCGCTGAATGGATCTTGATGAAATTTGGCGTAAATATAGAAAATAGTCTTGAAGAACGCATAGACTACTAATTTTTCAGCTAATCTTTATATATATAATTCTTCTGTGAGTGTGTATGTCACTGAACTTCTCTCAAACGACTGGACCGATTTTGATGAAATTTTTTGTGTGTGTTCAAGGGGATCTGGGAATAGTTTAGATTCACAATTTTGTCCGCTGGACAATGTTTTTTTAATTTATTATTAGTTGTTAATTTTGGAATGTTTTACATTGGATCCGACAGACGGCGCTACCATCGCAGTGTCAAATTATAAATAATATTCGAATTAAAGACGTCTAGACAGGACAACGTCTGTCGGGTCCGCTAGTTCTCGTATAAAAACCTAGTCAAGTCGTAATACAAATAAATTTGTACATGTTTAATATAACTGGTAATGTTTTGGTAATTAAAAAAAAGTTTATTCAGATGATATTACCAAGGTTTAGAAATACTATAAACAATTGTTTAAATAATTACTTAATATTTGTGCTATATCCTCCTTAAGTCTAAATGTTGTGATTTTGTCTTAACGATATTCGAAATTTAAAAAAAAATATATAGATTTTTAATCTGTCACTTACCGCGTAAACCGGTCAGTTTGTAAAGTACGGTTTCCCATTTTTCTCCATCTGTAAAACGAAAATTATAATAACTATTGAAATACAGAAATAAGAAATGTTTTTGAAAAATCCTGATGAAGGGCCTCCGATGGGGTCGAAACTAGTCGGTGCCACCGGACGTATATACGTGAGTGTTTAGCCGTGTTTATATATCAGTTTAGTATAATGTCTCACGAAAGTTTGAATAATTTAATGTTTTTGATAGTAACGAATTTTAAGATAACCAAAATAATTATTTTCTATCTTACTAAAAATTATTGCGAATGTTTAGATGGATGTTTGTTTGAAGGTATCTCCAGAACTGCATAGATATCGCAGTAATTTGACATATAGAACATAGTCTGGAAGAACGCATCATCATCATCAACCTGCCCTTATCCCTATCGAGGGTCTGTACAGTATGTACTCCTCCATACATCTCTATCAGCCGTCATATCCGAGTCTACTCCCTTCTTACGCATATCCTCTTTCACACAGTCATTCCATGCTTTTTTTTGGTCTTCCTCTACCTTAGTAGTCATCATCCCTCCGCATAACATGTCCAAACTACGCTAATCTTTTACTCCTCAATTTCTCTACTGGCGCTACTTTCAAACTTCCTCTAATACACATTTTTAACTTTATCCTTTCTTGTTGCTACATGCAATCTTCTTTCATCCGAAACCTTGGTGGCCCAACATTCAGATCCGTACAATACGTCAGGTCTTACGATGGACTTGTAGATCTGTCCCTTAAGTATAGTCTGGAAGAACGCATAGACTAAATAAGTTTTTTTTTTTTTAATTCCGCGCAAACGGTATCGTCATTATAAATCCGAATGTCACTTACCTTCCCATAATTTTGGATGTTGTTTATTATTGTGAACTGAAACAAAGGTATAATAATAAAATTATTATAAATTAAACTGTATGTTGTCAAAAATATTTTTACTTATACTTGATCTTGCATCAAAGAACACTCTTTTTGTTTAAACCAGTCTTTCCCAAAGTGTGCGATAACGCCCCCTTGTGGGCGCTGCAGGTCTCAAGTTGCGGGTTATAGTAAAAGTTTCCTTTACAATTCTCCGTTAATATACATATATAGGTCACAATAATTAATTAATATAATTTGAAGTTATAGTGGTTTTTAAATATGTGAAAATATGGGGGCGTTAAAAATATTTATTCTCAAAGTGGGCAGTAGACAAAATAAGTTTGGGAACCACTGGTTTATAGTATAGTAAAGGTAAGGGAACAGAATATGAATCTTATGACACCTCACTTATCAAAATCGTTTCAGTGGCCACAACGGAATATTCTTTATCTCGTGTTTTCTCTCGTCTCGTTTTTTAAAGTAAACTCTTCCATCCATCTATCGGCCATTTTAAATTAAAAGGTGACAAACGCCTACGCTGCCATCTAAATTGGCCGTAATGCCAAAGTGATTGCCGTCCATAGACATTCGCAATTGCAAATGCGTACTAATCGACAGAGGAGACGCACACACAGACAACATTTACCCTTCTCATGCTCCGTCAAATCTCCATCTTTTCTCATAAGAAATGGGTGGGTAGGGAAAGAGGTGTAAAATTAGGCCTCCGGGATGCACATTCATCAGACTGTATTTGGAATTACTTCTACTTGAGGCGTGTCTTCTGTGTGATCGTGGTATTGTACCGGACGAGCCGGACAATTCCTGCGAAGATGTTGGCGTCTACGACTATTATTTCACTCTCTTCTTGCTCATATCTTCTTTCATACAATCCACACTTCTTCGGCGTTCTAACTTTTAAATAAAGTTTACCTTGTAAATGTTCTTCGTTCTCATGGTGGGTTTGTGTTTTTTCATGATGTTCCACTCTTTCGTGGTGTTGTTCTTTTCGTACTTGTTGAGTTTTGTGTTGTTCTGTTTGTACTTGTTGAGTTTTGTGTTGTTCTTTTCGTACTTGTTGAGTTTTGTGTTGTTCTGTTTGTACTTGTTGAGTTTTGTGTTGTTCTGTTTGTACTTGTTGGGTTTGTTGTTGTTCTGTGTGTACGTCTTGAGTTTGGTGTTGTTCTGTGTGTACGTCTTGAGTTTGGCGTTGTTCTGTATGGAATTCTTGGATTTCTTGTTGTTCTGTATGGAATTCTTGGATTTCTTGTTGTTCTGTATGGATTTCTTGAGTTTCCCGATATTCTTCTGTATGTTCTTCTCTTTGTTCCTGTCTTACCACTTTAACTTGTTGTTCTTGGTCTATAACAGAGATTAACGGCACATACAGACATAAAAGTCCCATTTTATTCTAGTTTTAGTACGACAGTACTAACGATGCGATAGTTCATTTTGGTTCGGTTGTCCTTGAATAGGTTTTTGTTTTTATATATTTAAATTAATAATATTTTATTTACGAACCTTCATCATTAACTGAATGTCTCACCACTTTTATATTATGGCCTAAAATATTAAAATAATACATTAATTTCTTTATTGAGGATATTATTTTGTCAGATATTCCATTGTGACCTTGACCGATGTTTACGTGCCATTTGATTCGAATTCCCCGCATTGTTATAGTGATATCATTCAGTTTGTTTTTATAAAAGGAGATAGAGATTTGATGAATAAAGTTTAACTTACCATGTGGATTAGCTGCTACCTTTGTTGCTAAGATCTGCAATTAAATAATAAGTATATATAAATGCGAATGTTTGGTTGAACGTTAGATATCTGCAGAACTGGGATGTCTCGCAATTTTTTTTTTTTTAATGATAGATTTAAAAATTTACGTTTTTCAATATTACTTCCTTTATCTGTGCTATACGATGTAGATTCGTGTTAAATTTCAAAATTCTAAGTTCACGGAAAGTACCATATAGGTTTTGATTCCCTTGGAAATGTCGAAAATTTGCGGAAAATCTTTTGATCACGTTGGCTTACAGCAGACTTGTTTAAATGATACAAATTCCAGCTTGAAACCATCACGCGTTCTTTTGAAAAAGGATCTTGTTAGATAGATAGAGGAACAAAGTGTTCCTATAAGGGTTTTTTCTTCCTTTACGGTACGTAACACTTAAAAACGACACTATTAGGCGTCCCGTCATTGATGTCAGGGACACCGAGACTAGACAACGTTAAGCATACTATAGAGATGTGATAAGTAAAATTGACTATACATAATAAAAAATAATTTAAATCTATAGATTGGTAATTAAAATTAACAGTATAATAATGAAATGATTACATTAAATAGCGCCAATAAAATGATGCCTCCGTAAAGAACCTTCATCTTGCTTTCAGTGGACAGGCGGACCTGACACCACTAACATTTTCTGGATGTACCGCATTTTATATGGAAATTAAACCAAATAATAACACTTGATCAAATTGTACTAACAGTTGCGGAACTAATCAAGATGTAATAAGATATTTTGAAATAATATTGACATTATATTTAAAAACTATGATTTACATCTGACTTTGTACGTTTTTGGCTTATATTTAGGTAGGTAATGTTTTTCGCTTGTATTTATTTAGAATTCATCATCATCAGCTCACTATACGTCCCCACTGAGGGGCTCGGATCCTACCCTAAGTTAATAGGTCATAGTCAACAACGCTGGTCAAGTGCGGGTTAACTTCACACATATCTTTGAATTTGCAGATATGTGCAGCATCATGATGTTTTCCTTCATCGTAAGAATTAAAAAAAAAGTAATTAGTTCTTCCAGACTATGTTCTATCTATCTATCCATTTATCCGTTTTGGCTGTGCGTTCATAGTTATGTCAAGTTTTACTTCTTTTCCCTCCCGAACCTTCTAGTCTTGAAGCTTGGCTGCTAACTTGAATAATTAATAAATATTTTGAAAGGTATTATGCAAGGCGAAATTCACTTTAAATGGGTTTAACTATAAACGTAAGTATACGAAACACGATTGTTTTATTTCTCAGGAATTGTCTACTTGACTGTGTGTTTCATTTTAATTGAGGTATATTTATCTATATATATAAAAGAAAGTGGTGTTAGTTACGCTATTTATAACTCAAGAACGACTTTACCGATATGCCTGAAAATTGGTGAGGAGGTAGCTTAGAGCCAATAGACGGACATAGGATACTATTTATTCATTTTTTCGAATTAATGCCCTGATGAGCTGCTTTTTAAATAACTTACTAATATCATAAATGTGAATGGATGTGATGTGGATGGATGGATGGGTGTTTGAAAATATCTCTAGAACGGCTGAACGGATCTCGATTAAATTTGGCATACGTATAGAACATAGTCTGAAAGAACACATAGGCTACACTAATTAAGTTCTTTTATATATCCACGCGGACGGAGTCCCGGACGACAGCTACTTTGATATAATTGTCCGTTATAAATAATGGTTAAATAAAAAATATTACAATGCCGCCATCTTGACACAATTATGGCGGGTATCTTGATTTCTAACTTCGTTCCGAACAAGGTACAATTATTTTAAAGCAAAGTACTAAATAGTACAATTTACGTACACTTTTGATACCAGATAAAATAATATTCGCTAGGGTACACCCGCCATCTTGACTGTCACATAGATTTAAAACATAGTCTGGAAGAACACATACGCTAGTTTCATTTAATATCGTGTGTACGGAGTCGCGGGCGACAACTAGTTGTATATAAGAAGTTGAATTAATACTTCCATATGTATTGTATTAAAAGATAGTCATATTTACATAGAAAAATATGGCTTATTGTTTATTAATTACGTCAACGCTAATATATTCATTGGATAAACAGACGGCAGATGTTTTACATTTTATTAAGAATAAATTAAGTTAATTTACGCAATTAATTTGCATATTTAAAATGTTCGTAAAGGTATTTTACTTCTTACTAATATTATAAATGCGAATGTTTATATGTTTGTTAAAAGAACGAACGACTGGAGGAATCTCATTGAAATTTGGCATAGATGTAGAACATAGTCTGGAAGAACACGTAGGCTAGTAATTTGTTCTTTTTTAAAGATATCTCCAGAACAGCTAGACGAATTTCGTTGAAATTTGGCATAGATGTAGAACATAGTCTGGAAGAACACGTAGGCTAGTAATTTGTTCGTTTTTAAATCCATCACGGACGGAGTCGTCGTCAACTAACCTCATCCTACTAATCTTACTCTTACTAATATTATAAAAACAAATGTATAGATGTATGTTAGAAGGTATCTCCAGAATGGATGCATGGATCTCATTGAAATTTGTTATAGTTGTAGAACATAGTCTGTAGGACATATAGACTACTTACTAAGTTTTTAATACATCGCGGATGGATTCGCTGGCAAATAGTAGTTTAATAAAACAACGTGACAAAGATTTTAAAATAGTTTAATGTTTTATATGCTTTGGTATATTGTCTAAAAATTAACTAAGACATCTATCTAGTACATAAATAGTTTTTACCTTAAATTATCAATTCACTAGATTCCAATTCTGTCTTCACAATTCCCATTCTCGAAACACTGGAGTAAAACATTTTTAATCATGAATTCCCCTTCCTTATAAGGATGGGAAGGGGACTTAGATTTAAAAAAGGTACACATAGTAAGGGAAAAATCTGCATCCCTACTGTTGATTAAACTTTGTCGCGAAATAACTACGTTTTATTAAACGTATTTCTGCCGTCAAGAATATTAACATTACTAAAAAAAAACTAGATTTATTAAATAATCTACCAACATTTATATTACGAAGAAATAATTTCATACAAAGATTAGGAAATATCAAAGAGCATAAAAGGTCATCTGTCAAAATTGGCGCCAACTGACATGTCACTTTAAACAGGCGTTCAAATACGACGTTGAGGCATAAATAATAAGGAATAAAAAAAAACAATAAAAAAGTTAACGGTAATTGGAAAACCCGCCTTTATTTTGACAAATGACATTTTAATTTGAATATTAAAGTAAACTTTGTGTATTTATTAATATGACAAAAAGAATTAAATGATAAATATCAGATTTATTAGTGAATTAAATATTTCTTTAATTATATATTCACTAAGTAGAAGAAGAAGTGAGATTTTTATATTCACGATCAGAATTTTCTTATCGAAAAAAATGTAAACGAAATTCTTTACGCAATTACCACGCAGATGTGCTAAAAGCAATTAAAACATAGATCAAGTATTTAATATTCTTGGTTGTTTAAAGTTAAAATTGTAACGAGAATGCGTTAACTACTTAATATAATCCGTACTAATATTATAAATGCGATATTAACTTTGTATGTCCTTCAATTGGATATAAAAAAAAAACAATTGTCCTGTAATTATTCGAAAAATCGTTATGTCAACGTCAGTTAACATTCAAAAATCATCGAAATTACGTTTTGCGGATTTCAAATCAAATTTAGTTCATATACGATGTTTTGTCAGAAATAATTATCATTTATAATTCAAAAAGATAGTAGAGTAAACAATTTTTCCGTGAAATCATAAACTAAACAATTCTATGTTTTAATTCAACGGATTATGAGTCAACGGTTTTATATAGAACAAAATATTTAAAAAAATCTTGCATATTTTTTTTAAAACTACAAACCTACTAATATTTACAATCAACAAAATGTTTTTTTTTTTGCTTATTTTAATAAATGCAACTTCACAAATTTACCTCTTAATTTATAGTCGTCTTAAATTGCCTTAATTTATGGAGATTACTCTCCTATTGCGATTTTGACACGTAATGAGACTTATCTAGGAAATAACACCTTAGTAATAAAAATATTTTTTTAATACTACAACAAATTTAAATGCCTTTTTGTGTTATTATAATAAAATAGAAATTAAATAAAAATACATACAAATATTAGAAATTATTGTTACTTTATATATGGACAGGTTACTTGGATTGACTTTATATGGACTGGGCTATAAGACGTATTATTTTGTTGCTATTTGATGTACGCCATTTTGTCGCTGACTGTATTAGTTTGTATGGTGGTTTGGATTCGAACTTATAATAATAATAGAATAGGAGGGTAACAAAGTGATACATCCCCACTTAGGTAAGAGTGTACCCTAAGTGATATGTGATAGTGAATGCTGGTCCAGCGTATGACTTCACACATTTGACTTTCTCAGATATGTGCAGCATCACGATGTTTTCCTTCATCGTAACATAAGATAAATGTACATATGTAAAAACACATTGGTATATTGGATTCGAACCCAGGAGCTGCAGACAAGTCACCCCTGAGCCAAGAATGCTCTGATTCCATAACAAAACTTCAACAATACATAGAATTGACAATAACTTTGGATAAGTCACGTGATTGTTGCAGTTCCATACATTTTTGAAGTTCGCTATATCATTTTGTCAAACGAACGAAAGAAACAAAAGTCATTTCCAAGCAATCGTCCACATTTAGAGATTAGTGAGTCAGTGAGTCATCTTACTAATATTATAAATTTACTAGTTGTCGCCCGCGACTCCGTCCGCGCGGGATTAAAAAATAGATGTCCGATTATCAGAGCTACTCAATATGCTCACAAAATTTCATGAGAATCTGTCAAGCCGATTCGGAGGAGTATGGGAACGAAAATTGTGACACGAGAATTTTATATATAAGATATATGATATTTTGTGCTCATCTCCACTATATCTACATAAACTAAATACTATTTACTTAACATGTAATAAAGTAAAAAACATCAAAACATTTATTTCTAATTATCGAAGAAGAAAAAACTGAAAAAAACACTACATTTTGACTAAATATACATTTGGAAGTGTCTACGAGGACTAGATTAAAAAAAACGTCTTAATATTAGAGTATTTTTTGTTTATACTTTGTGACAAATAAAGCTCTGAAATTTGTAAAAAAGAAAAATTAGAGAAACCTCTATAAGCGAGAAACTCGGGTTGTAGAAAAACCTCTACAAGCGAGAAACTCGGGTTGTAGAAAAACCTCTACAAGCGAGAAACTCGGGTTGTAGAAAAACCTCTACAAGCGAGAAACTCGGGTTGTAGAAAAACCTCTACAAGCGAGAAACTCGGGTTGTATAAAAACCTCTACAAGCGAGAAACTCGGGTTGTAGAGAAACCTCTATAAGCGAGAAACTCGAGTTAGAGAGAAACCTCTATAAGCGAGAAACTCGAGTTAGAGAGAAACCTCTATAAGCGAGAAACCCGAGTTAGAGAGAAAGCTCTATAAGCGAGAAACTCGAGTTAGAGAGAAACCTCTATAAGCGAGAAACTCGAGTTAGAGAGAAACCTCTATAAGCGAGAAACCCGAGTTAGAGAGAAACCTCTATAAGCGAGAAACTCGAGTTAGAGAGAAACCTCTATAA